AATTACATCCGATGAGATACGCTTTCCGTGTCTTTGTTGGATGGAACAGCGAGTCGGTTGATCTGACGTCACCTTTCCTGCCTTAGTGCGTTTTTAAAAAGGTATTTTTACTGAAACCATTATTTAATTTTTTTAATGAACAATGATTTTGTGTGTGCAATCCAGGGAAGGTCAATCAAACAAGTGTTAGGTTGTTTTAATAAAATATATCAATATCCTAAATATTGCTGTTTTTTTTAAACCATTTTGCAAATTAGAGATTTTTAATTATACCATAAATAATTTAAATACATATTTAAAAAAAATGCTTTTATCTGTTTTTGAAAAGGATATCTCTCGATTAAATATTATCATTGACAAAGTGTGAGATAGACCAGATTGATTAAAGTATGGTCTTTGTTTTCCCAGGAGAATACTAATGTTTTTTAGCATGAACCCTCCTAAAGAAATGCTTAATATTAACTTCAATGTGTTTGCATGGGGGGAAGAATAAGCACATGTTAAACACCTAAATTAGTGGATCAGATCACTTAAAGTGCTAAAAACAAAGCATTGCATACAGAAAAGAAAAATACTAACTTGGCTAATACTTTAGCTAACTATACGTTGCATAAATAATGTGTTCATTTAAAGTCGACAGGTTGAACATGAGGATGAGTGGACCTGCAATTTCAACTTTGTCCACTTGATGTCACAAACATTACAATGACAATTCAGAGGCTGAGCTCGGGTGAAGGCTCATCCGACTGACATCCACACACACACACACACACACACACACACACACACACACACACACACACACACACACACACACACACACACACACACGGACAAAAATAAAAGCTGTGACCGCAACAGGCATCACAATGAATGACATTTATCACGGGTGTGTTGGATTGACGCTCTCAGTAGGAGGAGAGAAGCTGCAGGCGGCCCTGTGGCGTGAAACCTCTGCAGAACCTATTTAGAGAACCCCAGAGATGAGACAGCGACCTGGGAATCAGCCCCAGTCCCCCTTGTGTTCTCTCATCACCTGCACTTTAGCAAAGCACTGTCTAGACGTTCGCCCTGAGCTGATCCCGCTCTGAAACTTTGAAAGATAACTTAAAAGAGACTCATTTCGAGCGCAGATTCTATTGTAATGAGCTGATAACTGTGATGAAATGTACGCCTCAGCGGTAAACCTTTTTTTAATTAGCATTTGTACCTTTGGTGAATATAAATGTAGAATCTTAATGAGACTGATGCAATTAGAGTAGGTAGGCTGAGAGGTACTTATACACTTCTTTTTCTTGGAGAATATATTTCTATTTCAAGAACCTGGCAACGGCTTTTTTAGCTTGTTGAGCGTTTAAGTGGAACATTCATGGAGAGTGTTGATCCGTCAATGTCTACTTAGATCAATCATTTTAAAAGCGACTGAGCCAATAATGCCTTTCAAGTGTTGTCTGCTCTTCAAGACTCTGCAATGTGACTGTGAATATTAAACAACTTGAGTATATGAATCATGACAAAGTGTCATGACATGGAGCAGTCAATTGATGAATTAAATATTCTACATTTTGGGAAATACGAGTTGGTTTATAGCTTGTAGCATAGGTTAGCATAAATACCAGACACAGTGAGAGACAGCTCGTTCTGTCCAAAGGTAACAACGTCCCTTAATCTCCCTTCATTACACGCTACATCTAGTTTGTTGACTAGTTTGTACAAAAAAAAAGGGTAGAAACAGGAGATTGTGGTTTAACTGGGGATGTGTGTCAGGTGAACCCAAAAAAGGCTAATTTGAACACCTTGGTTTTGTATGAATTAACAAACTAAATATGACATGTTGATAAATGAACTGCTGGTAAGAGGACGAAAAAGCAGAGAATGTAACTCTTGGCAAGGAAGCAAAGAAGCGTATTTTCTCCAAAATGTTGAACTATCCCTTTAAAGTGGAATTGAGGGTATCTATCCACGTGGGAGCTCATGGAGAGTTTAATATTTAGAGATGTGTTTCTCTCACAGTGGTTCTCACATTGGTTCTCAATTATGATGATTTTGTAAATTATTATGCATTAATGTAGACTAGTAAACCACTCAACCGCATATGAAGGAGTTTGAATAAGCACATCCATAGACATCTAAAAAGGCATTATACACATTAAGGCAGCAGTAAATGAAATGCAAAAACATCATGTTGAACAGTTAAACACGGACAAGTAATAGTTTACTGCAAAATGAGCATTTATGTACTGTTTGTTAAAGGTACCATATAGTTATAAGTGAGATTTCTACGTCTTTTGTATTATAAGCAGTTCTATGGCCATACTGTGAAAGTGTCTAAAGAAATGCGCACAGCTTGTGTTCAGAAACGTTGCCTTTGTAAAAGCTGTCACAACTGAAACATTTATAGGTAGAAAGTAATAGTCCTTACTGGCATTCTCCAATGGCAATGACTAAGAAGCGACACTGCAAGCGAAGATGCAGAAGACATGGAACAAGTGACCAAAATGAGCAGACTCTTTAAAACTGGGCGTTTCAGAAAAAGGCTAAAAGCAGGTATATTTAGACAGACATTATGAGAAAATCTGTGTTAATAGAAACCCAAAATGCAAGTGTGAACTCAAAATGAGCATGACATGTCTCCTTTATGTGAGGTTTTGAATGCAGGACTTTAACTTGTAGGGAAGTATCAGTCTACACAGATACTCTGTAGGGCGTCAGAGAAAAGAGGTGAAGATCTCAGAATGAAATACTGCACACTAAGTACCTCTGTAATCTCTTTATCATTGACCTGTTGAGACCCGTCTGTGTGAGTGCTGTCTAACATCTGAACTATCCATGACACCACAAGCCTCGTACCGGCTCCTGTACATTTCCTGACATGACAGACAGGTGCTTCTGTGTCACTTCTGTGTCACTTCGCCCCGCCCTCCCTCCCAGTGCAGCATGAGATAAGCTGCAGGGAACGCTAACTCCATAATAGCACTTAGAGGCCATGGCCATTAGCTCTAAATAACACTATTGCCTTGCAAAGCACCGTCGTCGACACCATAATGGCCACATTAACGAGCATTACACAGCCATTGGTTTTTATAACCGCTTACTGCCACTGAGCTCATGCATCATAACAGCGTGTTATACACTACGCCCCATGATAGCTGAGATTTTTTTTTTGTGTTGACTTTTTAATTTGGCTTCCATTTTCTTCCCTGCTTGTCTTCCTTTTCTCCGTTGTAGCTGCTTATTTCCCACTCTGCTTCCAATTGTTACTCACCTTCTCTCTGTTCTAATAGTTTAATCTGTTCCTTTCCCTGTTGGACTCGCTGATAGTCATCGTCAAACAGCGCCGATCCTCCCCACCCTTCATTCTCTGCCTCTCTCACTTCCCCTCGCTGCTCATATCAACACTACGGAGATATATTTTCGGTGAACACATATTATTGTGCTTTGTCTCCTTCCTTCTCCCTGATGCCTCACAGTGTTTTCTTCCGACGTGATGCTTGAGAGGATCTGCCCATGTTCTTTTTCATTATGCAGATGAAAGCACATTTTCCTGCCAAAACCATCTCATCTCCTTCCATAGTTGGAAACAATAGTCACTAGAGATCAAAATAACTTTGTAAACGACATCAATCCACTAGTTTAATGAAGTAAATGGACATATGGGGTGCACTCCTTTTATCCGTCCCTGCGTCCACACTTGAGACAAGCGCATGGCTGGATGCTGAGTTAGGAGAGAGGCAATTGAGTTATTCTCAGCTGTCAGGCTGTCTCCTGTCTAGACACTGGGTCAGATGATCCGGAAGATTTGAGTGTCAGCTGCTTGAACACGAGAAAACTTTGGGATTCAACACGGGATTAACTATATCAGGCCAAGTTCGGAAACTGTGTTCAATTCAACTTTTTGCTCACAGATGTACAGCAAATCATCAGAAGAAGAGAGGAGCCTTTTCTTATCTTCAATTGAACAGTGTATGAGAGCTAAGTTTCAGAAAGGAGTTTTAAGTCTGTAAAAGTTAAACAGAAAGTAGAAATTAGCAACTCTTGTCTCAAATACTCCAGAGAAGACTGTTTTATTGGATAGCATTGCTTCATCCTAATCCCGTTCTTACTCTCTGTATTATGCAATTGGAATAATACTCATTGGCTAATTGTCTAAATGTGCTTTGTGTTTAGCTGATTATACGAGAAACAAAACGGAAGTTAGGCAATAAAAGCTGTAATTTCATTTAAATGATAAAAAGTCCCTCATACATCTGCAAAAACGCCCAAAGGAATCTCTCAATCTTCAATATCAGCATAAGTACAGCACATCTTTCCGGCTGTATCCAGTATAGTCGAAGGACTTGTATTAGTCATTGCTTCCTAGCTACGACAGAAACATCTTATCTCATATTTCCTCATATATGTTTTTTCATTCTTTCCCCTGCTGCTGCCAGATTTACCCCTTTCACAGGCCTTAAAATCCCATGTTGAGGGATTACATTAATCTGATTAAAATGAAAAAAAGGTAACAGCTACACCTTTAAGCTTTTCACAGTAATCATATTATAGATGAAAAAACACACAACTGCTCAGAGAGACTGGTGGTTCAAACATTACGACAGTATGTGTCACAGGTGCTGCCCATGGAGCTGATCCCACTGAAGTCCCAGCTGCAGGATCAGCTCCATGGACAGCGCTCATGGCATTTCCATCATGAAACTACGCTGAGGGCGCCGTTATTTTGAGCTATAACAATGTGGGTATTAGGTCTATTACAGTGCAGTATGTTTGAGTTATTGTGGAGGTAATGGTTAGTGTGTTTTTGTTGCAAATGCCACCCTATTATTGCCTTATTGTATTTTCGTATTATATATGTTGGATAGTTGGAGGAGCTCAGGTCATAAGATTTCCATTGCCATTTCTACACTGTAGCCTTGTGCATATAAAACCTTTGAATCTTGAATCTTTTGCCATTAATTCAGAGCTGTTCATCCTCACTGGCTCTCTTTCTTTTCCGGCTCTAGCCTCCATTGTGGCCCAGAAGTGGTGGTGCCAGATGCACCCCTGTATGGACGGAGAGGAGTGTAAAGTCCTGCCTGACCTGACCGGCTGGTCCTGCAGCACCGGCAACAAAGTCAAAACCACCAAGGTGAGACAAACACCTGTGTTTGTTTGTATTTTGTATGCATTTGTAAGTTTGGGCCTTCTTGCTTTACCTCCATTTGTTTAAGTCAGTGGTTATTAACCAAGTTGATCTAAAGGTACCCCAAAGCACTGTCAGATGTATTCATATTCCCCTTCATATATGATCATTCATCATATATCAATGGATAATGTTAAGTCATTCCTTACAATTTAAAGGTGAATATTTAGGTTTGTTTGGTCATGAAATACTACTACTAAAACTATAAGGAAACCAGGTATTTCATAACTTCAAGCAAACTGTTAAAATGTATATTAACAGTTATTTTTTGACAAATATTTGAACAGTTTATCAGTTAATGTTCATGTTAATGTTGCCAAATCTTAGCTAGCTATTTCAGCAATTTCTTTCAATAATCTGAGCTAGTTTCTTTCAACTGTTTTTCAACTAACTTGAGCCTACTCTAAGCTACCGCTATCAACCAATAATCAACTACTACCCACTTTAAGCTAAATATTTCAAACATTTGGCCAATACTCTTTGCTAAATTGGTTCACCTTGTATCAATTACATTAGCCGACCTTTAGCTACTTATATTTCGATTTCTTTAACCAATATTTTAAATATTTAAAGTCTTTCTGTATGACTTGAATCCAATTGTTTGACAGTACTTTTAGCTCACTACTACAACCACATTACATTACATATTCTAACCATGAACACTTATGAACTCCCTATATAAATAAACTTGACTTGCCTTACAGCTCGTCATTTGAACTGTCACCATTGGTACTTCTGCTTACTACCTTTAAAGTTGTTGTCGTCGCTTGATACGTTTTCCCTCCATCCCTAAAGTTGACTTAATGTTAATATGAGTTTTATAAAACACTCCCTTTAACGTCACTAATATTTGATGTTGCTCTAACTGACCTTCATCTTCAATTTAATTGATTTTTTCTTTCCTTTGAAACATGGTGCGTCAATAAGGACGGTAAACAAACTTTCAACTGGATGCCTCGCATCGCCATATTAAAAATGACTGCATTTGAAAAGGGAAAACTCAGAGGTGCATACAAAGTCATTTAAAGATAATCTCATAAAGGAAGGTTGTTTCCATCTTCAACATGTCCACAAATGATTGTCATCCACTTCTAAAACTAATTTCAAACATAAACAACAAATTACAATGAAACCGATGCAGAGCTAATCAGAGCAAGCTCTCCCCATAGAGACGTTTTAGTTAATCTGCTGTAACTGTATCTCCTTGGGCGGGGGTGACAAAAAGCTAATGGAGGAAACACAGGACCCCTGTACCCTCTGCACCACAGACGGCCATGTGATGCCATGTAAACTGACGCTATTCAGACGAGATAAATTGATTTAAATGAGAGTCCTTCATGGCCCTTTGTAAGCTGTTGATGTGTGAAAGTTAATTTGCGGGACTGACGACCCATGTGTGTGTGTATGTGTGTGTGTGTGTGTGTGTGTGTGTGTGTGTGTGTGTGTGTGTGTGTGGCTGCGTGTGTGTGTGTGTGTGTGTGTGTGTGTGTGTGTGTGTGTGTGTGTGTGTGTGTGTGTGTGTGTGTGTGTGTGTGTGTGTGTGTGTGTGTGTGTGTGTATGCGCGTGCCAGAGTGCTCTGTTGTGGGATGGAACAGGTGCAGTTTATTTACAGGTGAAGTATAAAAAAAAGAAACAATTCAGGAGGAAGCATCGCAAACGCCATAAGAGTAATTACTCGAGAGATGGTATAACAGCACAACATCTGTCGCATTCATTAGGATGCATTATGGCGGGGTCCTTCCACAGGGGCCTAACAATTAAGAGTCATAATTAAATTGGTGAGTGGGGTAGACTGAGGAACAGAGGCTCCATCACAGGCACTGCAATTAATGACCCTGGGTCTAACACCAACTCTGGGACCCGTAGGTGCAATTATCCCCATTCTGTTGCATCATGTCTTCTTCTTCTTCTCCTCCATCTTTTTTTTCTTTCTTCTTCTTATACCCTTTCTTTCTGTTTTGTCTCACCCACTCTCTCTGACTAGCCGATCAGCTACGAGAAAAAAAAGGAGCCGATGGCGGACTACGTCGGTGGACAATAATTGTGCATTTGCAAGGTGCTTTGGGACCGGGGAGCAGTTACTTGGAGACTTGATGGCAGATGTCACTGAAGATGTTTGCAATGAGCCATCGATTGCCTGGCAACTGCATGGCCCTGCTCTCCTGCTCCCTCTATGTCTGTCTCCTTTATCCTGATTCTCTCTTTTGTACCCATGACCTCCTTTTACCATCCCAGCATCCTATTCACCGTGATGATCTGTGTCCGTTCATCTCTTTCACTCCCACACAGCGTAGGTGTGCTATGGAACCATGCATAGATTGCCTGACTGAGAAACCAGAGCACTGTTAAAGAAAAAGAAAGCTTGTATTTTTGGCTCAATGGAAAAAACATTCACAATATTATCAGGACTGTATTTTCTCAACATATATGCATGTGTCTTTATTATGAATTCACACTGGGTGAGGTTTGTTGACGGTAAACAAGCTCTGTACATCTTCAATTATACGCCTTCCAGACTAAGTGTAAACAGACCATTACAGCTCGGAGACATCCAGCTTCTGTTGCGAAACCGTTACTCCTGGCAATCAGTCAGCCGGCCAGACTGCAAACAAACAATTTAAATTGAATGAAAATGACACAGAGACAAAAAATGGAGAGGAAAATAGTTTTATGTTGAATATTCTCCTGACCTCTGATTGACTCTTCCTAAAGGAAACATTCATTCAGGAAGGACGAAGTCACTCTGTGTAATTACATGTCTCACTGACACTGATACTCCTCTCTTATCTGCGGTATTGTTTTTTTTTTAGGTCACACGATAGCAAGAGAGCCGCAGAGCCACGAGGAAACCTGAAACTCTCCATGTGGAAAGGATGGATGACTCACACACATTTACTGTACGATGGGGAACATATCAAGGAAAGGACAACCGTCAGACCATCCATCACATAACAATGGGATAAAAATGTACTCATCACAAACAATGTACACATGGAGCTACACACAGCAGTACGCTGCTTGTCGAGACCAATGGACTACAATCATGGAGACCCAGGGTAAATCTGGACACAAATGGACTCTTATTTTCCAGTAATGGACAAAATGTGGACTGATAAAAAAAAGGGCGATAAAGCATTTCAAAGTATATATTTCAACAAAGCATTTATGGGTGAGTGAGACATGAGAAGTGAAAGCTGTGCTCTGAGTGCTGTTGGATACGCTCCAGATGTGTTGCTAATGTATTTTAGACAGTGGAGATGATTTGGGAGAAATTAGAGAGATAGGAGCTCATAACTAGCAAATAGCAAATTAGCATCAAATTGCTCTTGTGGGTCAAGTGACTACCATAAAGACTGTTTTGCGGGAGTCATTTTGCAGTTCTAATTAGGAATTGCAGTGTAGGATCATAACAACATATTAAAAATTCATGTAAGATATTTGCACTAGTTGAAAACCATTTGGGAATGTTTTTTCTTTTTCTAGATATCTCCCATCTTTTGCTGTGGATGTCACATGAAATTGAAGGTGAGCATTTTGTAAAATGTCCGACAGTTGAAGTAGATAAATATAAAGTATATATCTTGCCCCATTATTCCTGAGTAGTTATTGGTTAAAAATGGCTGCGACTATGGAGCCTCATTTACATGCAGCTTGGTACAATATGAACTAGGAAAGCGTGATTCATCCGTCTCACTTTTGCCCAGAAGCATTTCCAAGCTCCGCCTTCAAAGTTATATATCTTTGATCTATTATATTCAGTCTGTGACATCTCTTATGTTAACTGTTAAAAAGGAGGCCCATAAAATGTTGAAACAAGAAGGACGAGTTGTCTATATGTTGTTATTTCTCTTTGTTAGGAGTGCTTTCTTTCTCTCCCCAAAAGTGCAGGTTCTTAAATACACAACAAAGGTATGAATAGGGGTCTTTTTAAACTATCTTTATTTTATGTTTTTGTGTGCACATTGCCCATTGATTGGACCTGGACCTCCCTCCACATCAATGCTTCAGTGAGATATACTGAAATAATTGCAGTCGATAATGGCGGTTCAACCGTTTGCAAACATGTTTTTTTTCCTCCACAGGGCTGGATCATTACTGCACTGAGTACAATAGCATAGCGCCCTTAACAACACCCTCTCTCAATTATCTCTGTCCATTCTCTCTCTCACACACGCCTGTCTTTGAATCTTTCTCCCTTTTGCCCATCGCTTTCCTTTCTGCCACATATCATATATTACATGGCCCAGTTAAAATATTTGTATCATTTTATCTGTTGGAACCAATGGGCTTCCTTTTGCACTTTCCAAAATCCATTTTTCTCTCGTAGACACACATCGAATTGCAAGTCATTCTTGAACTGCCTCTCTGATATGTGAATGTGTTATAGGGTCAGTGTGCCCAGGGGTTAGCCCGTCGGGGGGCTTCTCCTCGGTGAGTGAGAGCCTCTGCTTTCAAACATGCTGCTTTGTGAGCTATGATAAATCTGTGGGAGCTCCAGTGCTGAGCTCAGAGCCAGAGGGAGCAGGGGGACAGCAGGGCTAGTACCAGGCAGCTCCACTCTCTCATTACTGAGAGGCCTGGATAGCACTGGGCTCCTCCCGGGACCACTGACACGGAATATTTGTAGGCCTACGGTGCAGCACTGCAGTTAGGCCAGTCACACCACAATGCCCTGTTTCCTTGAGCAGTGTCTCAGCAACAACAACAGTCCATTTAGAGGATGATGTTCTGCTGTAAACACACCTACATAGACAATAACTTTCACAAACCTCCCATCCACCCACACCTCTACTAATAAGGGATAATAGGAATCAGCAGAGAAAGGCAAGATGTCTCCGGAGTTGTGCAGCCTTAAACCATAGAGGGCTCTGTTTCCTTTCCTCCCTCTCTCTGCCTCCTCCCTCCCCTTTCTTCCTCTCTCTTTCCATCTCTTTCTCTTTACTCCAGAGGTTTGGTGTTCTGTAGATGAGTCTGGCGCCTTGTCCCCCCCTCCCCTATATGGCTCTCTGCAGCAGAATCAATATTTGAGGACAATTTGCGCCGCGCTGCTCCCTGGTGGCTGGGGTTTGACGCTGCAGCTCCACCCTCGGACGGAGAGGACTCGCCTCAGACAGATTCACAGCTCGTCTCGGGTCACCGCTATTTAACAAGAGAATCTGCAAAGTGCATCGTACATATATTTACAGCTGCTACAGTCTGGCCACCCCTGCAGCACAACAGACACACACTCCTCGGCCGTTTTTTGCCAATTTACGAGAAGGGAGACAACTGAACCGGCTAAGAGGCCCCAAGGTATCTTGGAGGGATTTGATATTACCATATTCACCTTTAATGAGTTGTTGTTACATAACATGAAAATGTAACAGGTATCAGAGTCTATCCATGGGTCTATAGATACGTTCTTTGTAAAAAAAAACAAATAACACTAAATCCACATTTAACATTATTGTTACGAGCTGGCTTCAGAAATGAGGACATAAATATACTTACTGTATGAGTTGTGCTTACAGACACATTCTCCTTGCTTTTTAACTCGAAGTGGATGTGTCTTTAATGTGTCGGTGGGGGTCTAACCTCCCAAATGGAGACTGGTTGCTTTCATCTCCACGGGTAATCAACTGGTGGTCCCCAGAGGCCAGGACCCACAGAGGCAAATAAACAGCATGGAGGACATGACTGCAGAAAAATGTGCTAATGAGAGAGGATTGGCAGTTTCTGAGAGAAAGGAAACAGAGGAACGCTGATACCTTAAAGAAAAACCCAAAATAGAGAGGTATACTGTTTGAGAGAGATGGAGCGTGTGAAGAGTATTTTAAGTGTCTTTGTTTATGCGTGAAGTCTGGGTGGCTCCTGAGAGGCCACTTGCAATCGTCAAACCAAACGCCTCCAATAGTCCATCCTCGTCGGCAATTCACACAATGGGTACCTAGAGAGGAAGAAATAAAGGGATGAAACATCATTGTCTTTGCTTATGCATCATCTTTTGTCAAGTCCAATTTGTATTAGCCTCCAGCCATATCCGGGAAATATGAGTTCAGGATTCATGTTCAGTGGTAATCTTCAGATGAAGTGACTCTGTCAGAGGGGGGAAGATGTGTGACAACTTGAGTCAGCTGGAGGAAAAGAGAGCGTTATGCCATTGTAGAGGAAACGGGCTCCACCTCCTGCTGTCTGAAACTGACATTGATATAATGTAAATCAGAGGGAGATTAGCTAATGAAGACGATCTGATCGGTGTTAACAGTGCCGGGTCGCAGCAGCTGCATGGGCATGTCACTGTCACTTCAGAGAGAACAAATCAACTCAAGCCAAAAATCTTTCCTTCTACAGATCACATCGATTTAGCGCAATAACTGTGACACATAATTACTCAAATCTGCGCTCAAAAGCTCTCAAAAATACACGATTAAAACCCCATATAATGGCATCGAGGACTTTTACCATCACTCATCTCAATCGAGTACACAGTGGCCTTCTTCACTCAGTATTCTGGTGCAGCGTGTTGGATTAGTGCAACATGGTCACGTGAAATTATTGGCTGGTTAGCCGTCAGGTGGTGATGTGGGGATTAATTGCATTAACTCCACTCTCTTACCCAGCATAGAATATGTGACAAAAACACCACAAGGCAGATCATTAAAATTCAATGAAACCAAACAAAAAAACCCGGCAAACAATCAAAAGTTCCTTTAATATTCATTTTGCGGCAGGCCTGCGACGGGCCGATATTGACGGTGGAGTGAGCGGGGGACTCATTAACATCTCCTCCCTCGCTGCTTCCTCTCGCTGAGCCCTTCCTTGCTGCGTCGTCAAACTCACTTATCTCTCTGAAGCAATTAGCCACTGGAGGCTCCATTGACCTGAGCTTTTGTTAGACTAACGGGCTGCATTAGCATGGCCGCGGCCTGGCAGTCTTGGCAATGCATGTGTCGGTGCCAATGTGAGCAGAGCTGATAAAGAGGAGCCCAGCGGTGTGCACGTGTGTGTGTTTGGAACAGCACATGAGCTACATACATGCATATTAACTGCCACTATTGTGCAATTTGCATTACGAGAACCTATACTCTTTATGTATCTGTGTGTGGTGTAGTCGTGTTTGCAAAAGGGGGATTTAAATGGCCAATGTAAGCATTTCATATCTGTGTGTAAATGTAATTTTCCCTGCCTTTATGCTACAACATGCAAAAAATTCAAGAGCTGAATGCACTGATAATGTCAACAGCAGCTATCCGTCTCCAGCAATATATATTTCCATACAATATCCCTATTGTATTCATGGTATTTTGTGTAGACATGCGCCAGAAGTAACAGATTCAATTTTGCCCACTGAAGCTATAAGATTACACATATGAACATGACAATGTGATGGGTTCCAGTGCTTGCAAGGGGAAAAGTGTTGCTTGCTGGCAAAGCTGCACATATGACTAAAGACACCACAGTGTTGTGCGTGGCCCTGGGCACTTTGCTGGCGAATATGGTATGGTAACACTGCTATTTAGAGCCTGTTTCTAATTTGAAGAAATTGCATTTACTTTAGAGTCACGCTGCATTTTTGTCAGCCGCGTAGCAAGCTCCCTGACATCTTAGAACAAACAGCCTCCACACGAAGATGACACACAAATCTGAATTTAACTATCACACAAACAGCCCCCATTTATGCTAAGTACATAAATAGCCTTCTAGTAAGTGTTTCAGTGTTTACACCAATGACAACAATAGCTAAGTATGCATGCATTATTCATAATTAATTATTCAAATGTGCAACTCCTTCCTTATTTACAGAAATTAATGTTTTGTTTCCCCGAGAAATGCTTTCTGTGTGGTACATTGGGTGGAGACGCAACGCCCTAATACATTTCCCTGTCAGGTGAGGTACGGCGAAAGTGATGAGACAGAAGAAGGGAGGACCAAACACACAGAAAACATTAGTTCCACTGTCTCCGTGGCCTGCTGCTGCAAATGTAAAATCATTACAAGCAGAGACCTCACAAGATGTGCAATGTTGTGGTTTTTGTAGTATGAGGGAGAGCCAAACCCCTGAGCCTCCCTTCCAGCTGGCCTCTGTTATGGAGAGACAGTGGCTCAAGAAAGATAGGCTGCCTTTCAATCACAGGGTTGAAGGTTCGATCTTTGTCTTCTCTGTCTATGTGTCCTTGAGGAAGATGCATTTTTAGAAAGTTTTTCCAAGTGGGTATGCCAAGTATGCCGGCTATACGTTACCAGTGTACAATTGTGTGATAATGGTTGAACGAGCTAATTGAAAATGGCTTTGTCCAGTTATAAGTAAGGCTCTGCTCACATTAAATGCAGTTCATTTGAAGGTCAGTACGTTTTTCTTTCACTCAACGCTGAAAGAAGTTCCTGTGTTCCTTTTGTCCGCATTCTGAACTAAATGATGTTGTACTAGATAGAGAAACTTGACTGCCTTGTCATTTTTAAATCATAAAACATGCTGCAATTCTTTATGCTGTGACAGTTATGCTTATATTTGCTGCCTCTTGTAGTTTTTGGGGGTTGCTACAGCTAACACAATTCTAACGGAAGGGAGAAACTACTCAAGTGGAAAACCAACTTTGACACAAGACAGGAACTTCTAGCTTCTATTCCAACAAGAAAGAAAACCTCTTTCAAAATGACACTTTTTTCTTATTGCAAAATACAACCAGCACTGGATCTTAACTTGCTTAACACTATGTGATGAGTTTCAGGGCCAAGGCTGGATCTGAGAGTTTTTGCCTCAGTTTAGTTCGGATCGATGGCTTTATCCTAAGCTGATGTGGTTTCCCTGCCCTGTAGCAGGCC